GGATATCTTAAATTTGAACGAAGATAACTCGGCCATTACATAATCAAATTCGATCAAAATTTTTTTATTTTAATTCTATGAGATTGTAGAATTAAAATAAAAAATTTTTGATTGAATTTAATTAGGTAACAGTCGAGTTAACTTTGTTCAAATTTTAGATATCCATAAAAAAAAGCTGCGGCCAAAATTTTGTTTTAGCTTCTAATCGTTTTTCTCAACACCTGTCTATTCAAATTCAGTAAAATTTTTTTTATTTTAATCCTACGTACTGGTAGAATCAAAATAAAAAAATTTTCATTGAATTTGGATATCTGGGTGTTGAGAAATCATCGGTTAAATTTCAAAAAAGTAAAAATTTGCCGATTTTAGATTTTCTTTTTAAGATATTTCAAACGTTTTCAAAACTTCTAGCGAAGGTTTCTCGACACCCATTGAACAAAATTCAATGAGCTTTTTTTATTTTAATTTAACAAATACATAGAATCAAAAAAAAAAGTTTTTACTAAATTAGATCGAATTGTTACTGAGAAAAATTCGCCGGAAGTTTAAAAAAATCCAAAATTTTCAAAAGGATTTTCAATTTAATTGATTCTGATTGGTGAATATTTGGGCTCCGGAATCAGATCGGAAAGGATCTACAGTGATCTTCAGCTCGGGATTTTCTTGAAATAAGGGAACCCGTACAGTTGGGGTGTCCAATGTTCTATGTAGATCAAACATATGTATAGTCTCATATGAAAATTAATTAATGTGATTTTTTGGTGTAACATAAGCGCGATTTTATATTAAAATATCCAAATTTCATTATTTTTAATATATTTTTTTTTTTGATTTGCAAAACGCGTTATTTTTTTCAAATTTAAAGTCTTTTAAGTATTCGTATGAAATTTCTAATTAAGTTAATATGTAAAATTTCGAAGAGATACAATTCAAAATTTCATATAAAACTTAAATTTCAAATCGTATCTCTTCAAAATTTTACAAATTGACTTAGCTAAAAATTTTACCCAAATACTCAAAAGACTTTATATTTAAGAAAAATAACACATTTTTTTTAAAAAAAATTTAAATTAAAGATTTATTTAATTTACTAATTCTATAATTTATTAATGATTTTCACATGGTTACACAAAGTAGTTCCATTAATATATTTTAAAATTCGATGATTCCAGCTATTTTCTTTAGCGAAATAAATGATATACAAAATGTCTTTTCTGCTTCAGAACCAAGTTGATTATTATCAAGCTCCAGTGTAAAATTTTTATTAAGAGCCTTTGCTAATAACATTCCTACCTCGAAATCAAGCTAATTATTATCAAGATTCAAAGAAGTTAGTGTAGAATTCTTAAAAAGAGTAACTGCTAATATTATTCCTTCCCGGAACCAAGTTGATTATAATGAAGATTTAAAGAAGATTTAAAGAAGTCAGGCAAGTGTTTTTGTAAAGGATCTTGGCTAATGCTTCTATCCTCTCAAGTGTTAGTAACTTATTCTTTTTTTTTTTCTAAAAATCAGCATATGGGGTTGAGTCAATAGAAATCAAGCAAATTTTTTTTAATAAGTTTTTTAAAAACTTTAAACAAGGATAACTTACAAAAACTTAATCAAATTTAATAAAATTTTTTTTAAATTAATTCTACAAGTTTGTAAAAATTATTTAAAAAAAATTTTATTAAATTTGGTCAAGGTTTCATTAAGTTATTCTTGTTTAAAGTTGTAAAAAAATTTTATTATAAAAAATTTGCTTGATTTCTATTGACTCACCCCCATATTTTACAGAACGTTCATAGTAAAAACAGAGTCCCTGATTGTGTAGAAAACGAGACCAATTCCAATGAAATATTTCGCCTCACCAATAATGGTAAGGTACGAATGCGCTGCTTGATTAGCGTGGATTTTAATTGCTACAATTAATTATCTTTAACTTATATAGTAGAGCGCACAGATCAGTATACATTCTCAGGGTTTTTCATTGTTTAGACAATGAAAAGTTTCTAAAAATGTACAAGTCTGATCACAACGAATTCACGCTGGGATATAAAAAACTTTAATGAATTAAATTATCTTAATAAAAAGTTAGGTTGGCTTTTGTCTCGCTTTTGTAATTGTTTTAATAAAAAATTTTGTCTCGCTTTTGTTATTGTTTTAATAAAAAATTTTGTTTGGCTTTTGTCTCGCTTTTGTTAAAAAATATGTTTTTGTATGATCATCAGTATTTAAATTTATATATCGAAGCATTAATTTTATTAAAAAAAATTTATTATGTATAATTAAACAATTAAAAGTCTGCCTGCATGAAATTCCATTTGTTAAAAAATTAATAAATAGAATTATAATTCTATCTTTCCCTTCGATTACCTACGTAAAAAAATTTACAATGCTAAAATTTTCAAAGCAAAAGCATCATTTGATATACTCATGATCTCAACGTAAAGATATTACACAAATTAACCATGAATTTCTTATTACCTTTACCAATATTATCAAAAAAACAAGAGAAGAGAAGATGTTTCAAACAATTCGTGAAATGCCAGAACCACAAAAAACCAGTGCATTAAAATTATTTGATTCAATGCGATATCCAAGGGGAAAACATGCTAATGAAATCATTTCTCCTTACCTCCAAAAAAAAGTATTGGAATTTATTACGGATCATCAAAAAAACCAGACCAAAAACTTAAAGATCAAGAATACTGAATTAAAATCGGAAAATAGAAAACTAATACGAAGAAATCAAAATCTAGTATGCAAAATCCAGTCTTTAGGTAGTTCAAATCGACATCTGCAAGACCAAATTAAAAATCGAATTTCAACTATTCGATCCTTGATAAGAAAATCGAAGCAAATATCTTATAACGAATTTAAGCATCAAATTAGCATGTTATTTAAAACAAATAATCGAGAATACTCACCCCGAATAGTTTGGCTTTCAACCAAAATATCACAAATTGGACAAACTTCTTTAACCGCAACAGTTGAATCATTAAGACTGGTCTATGAATTTTTAACTGGAGAGCCACCACAAAGATGGTTATCCGTGACGACCCTAAGTACTTGGTATAAAGAAGTTTCACAAATTGAAACTGAAGCTGGAATATATAAGGCCGCCCAATGTTCACATTATGGAATCCTTGTCAATGAGTCAACTCATGGAGAATCTAAATATTTCGTAATATGTATTATGTTTTGGGATTATGAAAAAAATATACCATCAGTTATTGTAACCAATCTTGAGGATTTAAATAACTGTACTGGCCAATCAGTAGCAGACAGCACTCTCAAAGCAATTACGAACCACAGGCTTGATCCAAAAAAATGTTTAACATGGGTAACAGACAATACGGCCTATATGTTAGGTAATAGAAAAGGCACGATTGTTCAGTTTAATAAAAAGGCAAATGTAGATACAGTAAGAATCGGTTGTGGAATGCATATAATGCATATTGTTTTTTCAAATTTTAAAGAGACGGCATTTGGCAAGCCACCTTCCTCGATTGAATTTTCGCAGACACCACAACCATATAACTTTCTATACTTAGCTTGGTATCTCCACGACAGATATGACTCAAGTAATAAAGGAAAACCTCTCAACATGAAATCAAGTTGGATTCATAAGTTATATGATAGATTACTGGGGTATCATTTCTCTCAATACCAATTGCCAATTTGGGGTCGTTGGGGATATGAATTGCTTGCTGCAAAGCAATATTTAAACCGTCGTGAAGCACATATCGAATTTGCAAACTGGTTCATTCAGGAACTTGAGAATAATCAGAATACACCAGCTGCATATCTTTCAGATTGGTATTTATAATTAATATTCATAAATTTAAACGATTATATTAAATACATCTACTAATAAGTTTCCTATACTTACTAACTAGGCGTTTATTTCAGGATTGGCTCTTAAATGAAAAGCTAAATATTCAAGTTCAATGCTTAGTAACATTCGGTGAGCACTTATATGAACCATTGATGAAATTTATGATCGGGAAGGATCCTATACCTTGTATTCAAGCAGATAATCATTTGGTTCAACTTCTACCTGGCCGTTGAGCTCACGAAATGCCTGACAAAGTAAATGAGTGGATAAAATTTTTAAATGACCTCAAGGAAAATTTTGACTCATTTTTCGGGCAAGAACTATTAACCGCGCTTGAAACACTAAATAACGAAGACTTTGGTGAGCTCTTTAATAATTTGGAACAAGGAATAAATAGAGCATACGAAAGTTTTTTAAAATGGATGTCTCCATGGATCCATTTACTATTATCAATCTGCCATTTGGATGGAGATTCTAGCCATGAATTCGCACGAGAATTCTATTATGTTGCTATGCAACAGTGGCTTTTGGAACCAACAGAGTATGAAATAAGCTTAGCACAACAATTATGTGACGATTTTGAGATAACTAGTAATACTTTCGGCCTTCAGGAAAAATTACTAGGTTCCTTAGAATTTAGGGACGAGTTCCAAAAATTTTGCCTGACTCCAAACTCCAAAATCTATGATTATGAATTATTATATAAATTCGTTAAAGAACGAATTTATTTCATAATAGTCCACCAACAGCAAGTGAAGGGGCTTTTTAACAAACTAGACTTAAAAACACACCTGAATATGACGCAAGACCTGAAGCAATCAAAGCTACAACTTTCGTCAGGTAATATTGACGAAGAAAATATTACTTTAGAACTTTCGAAAGTTCGTATGGACCGTAAAAAATGATCGGTGGGAATTGTACAAGACAGTGCGAAAACGCATGGGAAAGAAGAAGCGACCAAAATACTTTTAGACTTATTGTCGCATGAATGACCAATATCCCATGCACCCGGTTTGAGGTGTGATGAGCGGAGTTAGTAATGCAGTAATTGAAATATAATGATAATGTGCGAAAATAATGTAATACTTAGCTTATGTGTACAAATTGAAGGGTAATATGATAATAATAAAAAAAAAAAAAATCAATAAAGTATATAAGAATCGTTATCATGTCAGATATATAAAAATCAAATCGGTGATCATCTCAAAAAAAAAAAATTTATAGTAGTAATTTTTATGAGACTATACATATATTTGATCTACATAGTACATTGGACACCCCAACGTACTACGAAGTATCAAGTCCCTTAATAACGATTTTAACCTTACATGGCTCTATAACTCGTGATGCATACATTTACAACTTCTATCGTAGAAATTTTTCTATGTAAGAGCATATGTCTTTGCTTCTGTCCAACCTTTTTAACTTTCGAGTTTCAGAGAAGAGGTGAAAGAAAAACATATAAAAGGACAGTATCTTAAATTTATTGTTACTTGTCGCTCTATAGTGATTATTTCTTACATTTTTATATTCAACTTAACATCTATCAACATGGCACATTTAGTATCTAAGATTGAAGCACTTTTATTAAACGAATAATCATTAGACACTCTTTGTGGTGCGTCTGTTGTTTATTTAACAATAGAGGATAACGCTCTACTTCCATATGACAGTATAAGAGAAATAGTTGACCAGGCAGTTAATTCGTCTTTATCGAAAATTGAAGATCTTAGACGAAGAGCAAAGGTGTTAGAAATTTTACCACAGGTTAGTATAAATTGAGATTTTTATTGTTAAATTTAATGATGATTCTATAATAGATATGGGCTTTAGTTTTGGTATGTCATAGCTGAAAGTCGGAGAATGCCGGCCCAGAAGATCAATATCTTCGGATGTTGAGGGTTTCTGCTCCTCTCTGACTGTGCGTGACTATCCAACCAAAACAATGATACCCTAAATATATCTGAAAACGCACATGTGCGGGTATGGCATTAGTTTGCAAAATTTGGGATAAGGTTAACGTACCGGTACTTTATACTGTATCTACTATAGATGGAAAGCGGATATATTAGCGTTAAAGGTCTGAAAGCATTAAAGGTATTAAATATGGATAGAGAATTTACATCAGATCACGGTCGGGAACAAATAGAAGAAAATCTTAACACGTTGAGATCTAAACTCGAGGTAAATATTAGACTGTTGAAATATTTTTGATTGAGAACTAACAAATAAGATTATATGCCTAGCATCCAACAACGGAAGCGGATATAAATCTTTATGGTTCGCTTAAACAAGCTTTAGCAAGTGTGGACCCTTCGGATCTTACATGGCGAGATCCAGAAGCAAGCATGGTTCTAAGTGATGACTCAGAAGTTGTGAATAACTTGGGGGATAGACAGAAAAAAATCTTTATAAAACCGCGGGAAAATATGAAATGTGTTCTCCCTGATTCGGTTGTGGCTAACTGTGATAGTTTTGCAGAAAATTTCAATAATTCAAATATTTCAATGATTATGATGAATATTTTTCATGATAAAAAATGGAAAGAGAATGAGAACGAGTTAGTGAAAATAACAAAACGTATTCTGGACACGCTGTAAGTAATTCACTTAATATTATCTTCGTTCGAAAAAATCAAAGAAATGGTAATTCTAATATACCTTTGTCAGTGATGAAATATGGAATAATCCCGCATTTATGACTAGTACATCCCGTAGTGAGCAGAGTGAAGGGACATATGTTGCAGATGTCATAATTCCTTTGCTCCGAGCAAGTTTAAACGACCTTCCGAATGGTAGTATCTGTTTGAGCACGGCGGAACGTCAAAGTATAGCAAGCAAAGCTCGGCGGAATCTAGGAATAAATGGAGAGCGAATGGGAAAGAAGCCTGACGTTATGGGGTTGTTGAAGCAAGATGAAAAAATTATTGAACTATTGTATACCGAATCATCTCGCATCGTATGCGATAGTTCAAAAAAGGCGGATGATGATGTTAAGTTATGGAGAGAAACATTGGATGGGGTGAGTTATATCAGTGCAATGTGTAGACCAGCCGGTAATCAATTTGGAATTGTGGGAATCCAGATTGCTGGTACAACTATGTATCTAAATGTTCTTGTAAAGGATCTTGCTGGGATACCAAGATATTTCCATCTAGACCATTCTGAAATCCCATTAACACCCCACAAATTGCATACTAGATCTCTAGTTCGCTTATTACTAACCTTAAGAAATATTATGATCGTGAACAAAAGCTTGTTAGTGCAGGCACTAGAACAGGCTATTACGCATCCACCCAGAAATGTTAATCAGAGCCCTACTGTTTCATCACCGCGTAGAGATGAGCAGGGGCAGAAAAGATCTAAAGATAATAGTAAAACTAGAAGATTAAAAAAGCAAAAAAGCGCATATCTCTAGAATATAGCAATATCTTGTATTTTATTTTTATTTTTTTATATAATAAAACTGGCCCAGTGGCCGATTTCATATACATAATCAGTTTATTTTTGCATGTGTATTTCGTGAATTTGTTTATCATATTGATAACAGATAACGATATATATTAATCTGTATATGAGTATTTTCTTGGCGTTTTACACTTGTTGGGTTTAATCCAACAATTTTATCGTCGGTCAGTAAAAAATAATGAAAACGACTAGTTGTCCACCGTTTTCCTAATGCTATTCTTGAGACCACAATACTGCCTTCTCGCAATACTTGCTCGAAGCCAGATCACTTAGATATAAAAAATTTAAAATAAAATTGGTATTTTTTTTTTCTGGCTTCGAGTGATTTAATCACGAGAAGGTAGGATCACAATTGAGTGATATACAGATGTTGCTCCCATTCTATGTATTTTTTTTTCTTGGCAAAACTTTGTAAACTAAGTTCACAAAGTGGAATCATGTAAATTTTTTATTTTGAATGCAAATATACAGTGTATAAAATTATTTTCGAAAATGACATCCGAGATTGACTTACTTAGGCAAGAAAATGCCATACTTATGGCTGAGAATGCTGAGTTTAAGGCCAAGTATAATGAGGCCAAGGATGAGATTACAAAGCTAAGGGCTGAGCTCAGGAATAGAATTGAGGAATTAGAAAAAGCTAGAATAGATACTGCCGTCGAGAATACTAGACGTGATGTTGAAAATATCAGGCGTGATGCTGAGAATACTGAGCTTAAGGCTAGAGTTGCAAAGTTGGAAGAAGGTTCTAGGTATCCGCGAAAAGATTCCTCTCCCAAAAAACCTACTGACATACCAGACCCCATAATAGCAAATGAAACAGTACCTGCCAATTCAAAGTTATCAGAGGAAAAGACCGTGGATTCTTTCCTAAATGAGGTGAATCAGAAAAGAGTTAGTGATGAAATTAGGCAGAGAAAGCGGGAGGAGAAGCCTGCAAAAGTGGAAACTGTTTCCCCTGAAAAAGATAAACAGGTATCAGTTGATAAAAGGATGCTTTGTAAGGAAAATCAGAAAAAACAAAGGGAAAATTTCATTCATGAAGTGTTCAAGGGGGTGGTCACTAAAGTGGCCCCGGATGATTTGGTACCTCAGTAACTTTCCAAAGAGAATCGGATTCAAGCACCAATTGTTCCAATATTATAGATGAGCCAGGCTCGAATTCTTTGGATGTTTGCCTAGAGAAAACAATACGAAGCTGTGACCCCTTAACAGTAGAAATGGGAACTCCAACCTTTTCTCTTTTGTATGAAAAACTTTGTGATGCCGTAATTCTTGCTGATCATGCAACCCAGGAAGCTATCTTTTGTTACTGTCAATTTGGGAAAGCTCTTATCCAGAGGCGAGGTGAGATCGCATCTGAAAAACAAGTTGATCCGGAGTCTAATACAGTTGGTAGAATTCTAAATATAGAAGTTAAAGCTCAGCTTCCTGCAGGTACTTCTGATGCACTTTTACGTAAAAGAATCGAGCAGGCCAAAAAGCTCTATATACTTTTTAATGCAATAGGTATGGATAAAATAAATCGAATTCATTCCTTCTCTGCTGATTCTATCTCAAAAATGACGTATAAAGATATCCAGTATATTATAGACAACATGCCCTTTGATTATAGCATTCATATGTAGACACAACTTTGTGAACCGAGTTCACAAAGTGATAAGAAAAATTCTGACTTATCACATATCACCAGTTCGAATGCACCTACCGAATCTCAAATCCCCATTGAATCTGCCACGAAAAAATTAGATACTAAGGTAGAGGTAGTATTACCTATTCCTTTAAGTCATGCCTCTAATTATTCGGCTGAGGTAAATACATCAGCAAATGTAATATCTGCACCTCAATCTAATCCAACTTATGACCACACCTATTTCCACAACAAGACATTGGATCAATACCCTAATTTATATTGAGATGGTAGTAGTGAAAACGAAGATTATTATGGAATTACTGATGAATCACTATGTCCATTATGCAAGTTAAATCATGACGAAGATGGTATAGAAGGGAGATATGAAATTGGATCCTATTATATTAAATGTGAACAGCGTGGAATTGAAATTGAAATAACGGCATAAACTTTATCTTATGCTAATAGGTGGAGCATAGAGTCTCAGACTCATATAATTCACTTAAGTTTTTAATGTTTCTCTGGTGTATAGTGAAACTAGTGCCGAAGACACATATTATTTTTTTTGTTGGTTATTCCCGCTTTTAATTTAAAGGGGTGAGAATCATATAAAACAGAAACATAAATACACAAACAAATACCAACAAAACGTTAACTCTTGAATATTTGGAGTGGGAAGCTAAATTAACAGAATTGCCAAGCCCTTTGACAGATAATATTCGTTCTAGGTTATATAAAAGATATAAGAAAAAAACTGGACTCGATCCTTGGATAAACTCTGAAACTTCTGAACTCACCCAAATTGTAAATAACAAAAACGAAACAGAGGTACACATATTACCTATAAACAAAAATGCATCTCTCAATTCTCATCTTCCAATTTCTATCTTACTCAATGATCCAAAAGAAAAACAAAATCTTGTTATTTATACCACATTGAAGCAATTCGATAATTTATCTCTTAAGCATAGCAATAAATGTGGCGATTATTATGATTATTCAGGAATATGCCCTGCATGTAATGAAGAGCATAAAGGAGATAATGTGGAAGGTCGATGAGGTGATGGTAATTATTATGGAGAAAAAATTTATCATCTCTATTGTTGTAAAAGAACTTTTAGTGAAATCCCCATAGTAAATATGAAAAAAGAGAATCTAAAAAAAAAACGAAAAGACTTTATCAGCAAGGTATTGGAACAGAATTCCGGTATATCTTTGAGTCACAGTACTGATTCTGATGATATATATCGATGCAATACTTCATTATGTTCATCATGTAAGCAAAACTATAAAGACAATATCGTAGACCAGTTTGTGAGAGGTTCTATAATATTGGATGCAGATTTAATTATACAGAAGGAATCAATATAATAGCATAAACAATAGGTAATTTATAATAAGTAAAGGTAATAGATATCAAAATCGCATAAAAATAAAAGATTAGGAGCCCAGCGGGGGCCCTTCTTTATTTAATATTTTTTTGCCAGAACGACAATATACAAATAAAGAAATTATATTTATTTTTTGTTTAATAGTTTTTAAAGAATTTTTTTTTTTTGAAATTGGAATCAATGTTTTCAGATAGTGGCTTTCTACATTTGGGGCATAAATTAGGGTTTTTATTATTATTACATTGTTCGCAAAGAGATACAAAACAGCATTCTACCATAACGAAAAAACTATAGTTAGGTTAGTTTCATGATATAAGCCACACAAG